GTTTCTATTAGGAAGGGGATAATGATACCAATCTATTAACTGACAACGCTTATTTATTAGTGTGTTAAGTCAGGCCATGATGCTCAGGGTTCCAAGCCCAGTGCAGCTTGGATTAAGTGCGGTCATTCAAATTCAGAAGAAAGGAAGGAAGGAAAGGAAAGAGGGAAGGAGGGGAGGAGATAGGGGAGAGGGGGGAGGGAGAGAGAGGAAGGAAGAAAGAAAACCAGTCTGGAGGTGGGGGCAGGGAGAGTGAGAAAGCCACTCACTGGACCTCCAGGGAGAGTGAGGCTTGGCACCTACAGCAGCCAGCCTGTGAAAACCTGGCTATTAGCTCCTGAGGCTGTCGTTCGAAAGCCCTTATCCTTTAACAATAAGAAATCATGTAGAATGCCTTATTTCTAACACCAAAAAGAGCAGCTGCTGAAAGGGATAGGCAATCGTAGCCTTTCTTCAATGCTCCGAAGACGACAGCAGAGGAGCCGTGCTGACACACTCACAAACGCTGTCCCTGAGCAGCACCCAACTGTTAAGAGGTATTTCACAAAGGAAGGATTTTCCATGAGTCATATTTAAAGAGCTGTAATAATAATGGTTTTTTAAGTCTACAGAAAAACCTTTGGGTAATGGGACGTCTCATGTCAAATCACCTCTAGCCGACTGTGCCTGCAGCCAAGACTGCACCAGCTGCAACGTGGACTCTCCCACCAGGTGTCTGTCTGGTCCACCTGGACCCAGGGCAGGCCGCCCCTGTGCAGTCTTTTACAAAAACATGTGATGCACTAGCCCTCACCACCTCCAATAAGCTGAAGGCACTTACTAGGAAAAAAGTCCTATCCGAAAAGAAAAGCAAAAAAAAAAAAAAAAAAAAAAAAAATCAACAACTGGCTCAGTAAGTGGAGAGAACGGGTTAATCGCACCCCGCCCCGCCCGTCCCTGAACAGGCCAAGGGCTCTGCAGGCAGCACACGTAGCACTGCTCCCGATCCACTGCTCACCCAGCCAGACAAAACAAGTCGGTGCCAGGCCTCCAGCAGAGACACCACTGGTTTCTGATCAATACACTTCCCACACATTTTCTGCTCAAGGAAAAAACCCCAAACTCCCTTCTTTCAATAATTAATCCTGACTGTTTGGGTGTGCGAGTCACCTTGAAAAGTCTAGGTAGACTTAGAAACTAGACTATAAACGGCCAAACATGTTGGATAAGTTACTGAATGAGGCTTTAAAAAGTAAAACCAAACTTCTCCTAAATTGGAGCCCAAATCACAGGAGAGTTGGCTCACAAGGGACACCTGCCAGTGTCTGGAGGCATTCCTCATGGTCACTGCTCTGGGGTAGGGGTGTGGTCCTGGATCTTGATTGGCAGAGGCAGGGATGCTCTGAACCACCTGCCCCCACAGGACACCCCCTCACACCCTCCCATCATCCCCTGCAAATACCAATAGCGCTATGGTGTGTGGTGTAGAAGGAAGCCCTGTCTGTCAGGGCAGGGTCCACAGAAAAGAACATATGGACATGTTTGCAGTTCTGAGAAGGTATTTAGAGAAGTGAATTCAGTTCAGAGCCCTCATCCTCCCGATTCTGTACCTGGAGAAAACCAACAACACCAAAGGCACACCCACCATTGCACCCCCACCCAAGCCCCCTTGCCCAGTTTGAACTCAAAGCTTTCTAACTGCAGGAAAGGCAAATAAGATTTTCACTGGACAGATGAGGAAACAGGGCCAGAAATGTTAATTTCTTTATCCCCCGTCACTGGGATCTCTACATAGGTAATCACTTCCCCCAACCCATGGGGTGGGAGAGGTGGCAGAGTTGAGAAGGCTGGGATCCTGAACACCACAGACACAGAGTGAGCCCATGTGAACTGGCACTGTCAAGAGAGGGAGTCACCTCCTCCTATTTGAGGGATGGTCACCCAAGGTGGGTGAGAAAGGATTGCACACAGCATCAATGAGGTTGGTTGCCCAAGTGACTTAGGAAAAAACTGGCAGATTTTAGACATTTTTGAATTTCAGAATAGCAGATACAGAGTCACTAAATCTGTCATAGAAAAATGATGGGACCCCAATCAATTTCAATTCAATGAGATAATACTGATGACCAGTGCGAATTCCTATGGGTCTGAAGGGACACTAGGCGAGCCCCAGGTAGGGTGGACACTAAAGGCCCCCGTCAACTCACTGGTACAATATTTCTCTCTTTTGGGAGGATGGGGGTGGGGTGTCATGGGAAGAATTGCATCATCTCCAGACAGGCGATTTCAGTTCCAATGCCTCTGTCTGCAAGCTGTTCCCTTTTCCCTCCATATCTAAGAACGTCAGAGGCCTGATCTCTCCTAGTGTTAAAGCACACACACTGCAATCAGCTGTGTGCTCTGAGACGCCTTCCATCGGAGGTGCTGATTACTGATAAAAGAGTTATTATGAAAATTAGAATCATCCTAACACCATTCCACACAAGAATTCTCCATGGCATTTTCCCAGTGGAGTATCCATAGACATTTCTTGTTTTCCCTAACAGAGATGGATCTACTCAGATTCAGGACTCCTCACTGCCCACGTGCTGGGAGGGGCAGGAAGCAGAGCTCACCTCCCTCCAGAGAGGACTTGAAGAATGTAGCCGCCTTGGTTTAATGCAGGTTTCCAGACCTCAGCATTACTGCCATTTAGGCAAGATAATTCCTTGTTAAGGGTCTGTCCTGTGCACTGAGGGATGTTGAGCAGAATCCCTGGCCTCCTCTCCCTAGATGCCAGTAGCACCTCTCCCCATAATGGGATGATCAAAATGTCTCCAGATACTAATGAATGTCCTTGGGGGTTGATGTGGGATTCCAGCTCTCTTCCCAGTCCTGCTAGTGATGAACGGTGACATGGAGAAAGTAAACTGTCCACAAGGACGAGTCAGTTCCTTTAACTATGAAGTAACCGAAATGACTTCCTTCCCTTCCCTCTACACACCGCAAAGTCATCATGAAGACAAAACGCACCTCTATAGAGAGAGATCTTCAGCTCATTACACCTGCAGCGTCACCTGGAGGGTCACAAAAGGTGACGGAGCCAGCAGCCAGTGAAATCAAAGGTTCCCCGGAGAACATGCCAGATACCACAAGACCAAGTAAATTAATCTTCAGAGAAGTTGAAATCATTTTGTTATTCAGAACAGAACGTGACCTGAGGGTGGACCAACCCCCAAAATATTTTTAAAAACATGTGTTAAGAACTGCCATCTGACCAAGTGTGGTGTCTTCTCTCAAGTTCAAAGGCAGAATGCAATCCTCTCTTCTCCCCAAAATAAAATTAAAAGGCAGAGGAAGCTGTACTCATGCATGCACACTCCTCAGCAGAAGCAGAACAGTCATCTGAGTGCAAACTCAAACATCAAAGGGAGTAGGGACGTGAGAGTGGTGAGCGTGGCCCTGTGTCTCGTGTGCTCATTCCACATCAGTGAACAGGGGACAGCAGCTGCAGGGCCAGGCCTAGGACAGACATCCACAAGGGCAATTTGACCCTAAATACATCCACATAGAAAATGACAGAACAACGGTTTGGGGCTGTTTTGACTGGACCCATTATTTTAACATTACCCAAATTAGATGGATACAACCCTAGACCCATAGAACCACAACTTAGAAAAGCAAACCAAAGCACTGGAAAAAAACATCTTTTCAGCAAACAATAAAAAAATGGTTATTTAGACTAATGAGCAAAGACCATGAGTGGCCACATCACAAAAGGAGAAAGGGCTTTAGCAAACAGCCTTGGAACCCGCACCAGCTCTGGTGAGTCAGACGAGGGCTGTGCACACAAGACCACTGGATTTGGTGCCACTTTTGGGTGCGGCGTAGGGGTGCAGAGTGGGCTGGAACACGTTTCAGAAATCACTGGTGAGACACATCAAGACCCATGATAAGGGCCGTGTTTTCTAATTCAGTCAATGCCTTGGGACCACATTAATAATACAAAGCATAAAAAAGCCTCACCTATTAATATGGATCTTGCTGTGTTACGAGAGTTGAGAAATGGGCAGTGACCTAAATAGTCCAGTGGCGTGGCAATGGAATGACCCAGTAAATAAATGGTCAGGTAAATGTTAAGGCATCAGTGTGACAGAGTATTATATAGACATTGAAAGCAACAGTTTTGAGATGTGTGTAGCATATAGTAAATCACCGTAATGTAATGGTTGGTAGAAAATGTACTATACCAAAAACACTTACTGAAATTTTTAAAATGTACATATTTTCTTCCAGTCTTTCACATATATAACACTGGGAGGAATCAACATAAAATATTAACCATGGTCTTGAAAGAGTTAAGTCATTTAAAAATATATTCTCTTATTTCCTTTGTATACGTTTTATTATGTTTCATAAATTGAAAATCTAAATATAAATTATTTTTTCCTAGTAGTTTTTGAAATAAATCATGTGGTCCAAACTATTTCGAGGCCTTCCCCCCAAACACTACTCACTTCTAAATTGCCAAGACCGCAAATGCAGAAGATAATGGGCTATAACTGCTGTTGGATTTGACCCCTCATTCTGAAGTAAACAGATAAACAGACACCAGGGAGGCAGTCTGGGTGTCACATTAATAATGAAAAGCTCAAAGTGGCTGATTTTTCCCATTCATCTTAATGTTTATTCAAATTCAACTCCATTTTAAGTGAATATATCACATCTATAAGGAATAAAAACAACGAATAAGTACAACCAGTTTGAGATCATTAATCCTGCAAGACCAGTTGATACCAAAATGGCATTTTGTGCCTGTCTCATCCACCCCTCGCTCCCTAACACAAACCTCAGAGGTGCATCCGGAGGGGGAGCACATTCTCCCAGGTAAGCTCTGGTGGGACCTTGGCTCCCCTGCTGGCCCCCTGAGCACGCTGTCACCACTGACCCTGGGTTGCAACCCTGGAAGGCGTGAGAGCACCGGGTGAATGCAAGACAGGGACACCTGAAGATCAGAGAAAGCAGGACTGCCGCAGGACACTGACCTCATAGATGAAGTACACCTTGGCCCCCGCGTAGATCCCCATGCGCACGACTGCACGGACAGCGGCATTCATACCTGGAAAAGACAGGACGGCATTTATAGAAGAGACTAGGCACACAACTGGCCATGACCACAGCGAAACTGTGGCCTCTCAGAAGGCGCCTCAGATGAAAGATGGGCCGGACGCATGCGTCCAGGATTAGCATCAGGACTGAGAGAAAATGCAAAGTGGAGAGCCCAGCATTTATGGGCTCATCTACAAATGAACATTTTTGGAGGAGGGGCTGGCGCACATTTAATTTACAATAGCTCTGCTCACAGGCTCAGGACATGAGCTACCTGGATTCCCTCTAAATTTGCAGGCAACTCCTTCCAATTACAAAACAACACAAAGGACAGTCATTTATTTATAGTTAGCCAAATTCTAAGAGAGTAGTACTGAAAAGGACCATTGGTCTGTGATTTGAGGAATTGAAAACCAGCTACCAATGGCCTTAAATACAAAACAAGTCATGCAAGTTTATAAAAAGAAAAATTAGACCAATATACTATAAATAATACCTGATCAAGATATATCTAGGACATTTCCCACACTTTCTCAGAGGACGTCAAGGAAATTAAACTCAGCTTTGTGTGATGCATGGGGCCCCAGTCTGTTCACTCCCTCCTGCTCTCTGCATAGAACTGCTGTCTAGAGCTCAGTGACTCTCACATCTGTCAAATCCTGTACCATCACCTTAGCTGATGAGTTAAGGCCAGGAGGAAAGAAGTGACAAGGGATGAGGGTCACTTCTTTCAGAGATGATGCAGTCCTGTGCCTCAGGAAGAGCAGCAAAGCTTATTCAGTCAAGCGGCTCCTGGACACCCAACAGTTCCAATCCACTGTCTTCATAAATTTAAATTTGGGGGGAAAAAAAGTGAGGACAAAGGATGTTGGAGAACATGGACCATTGAGTGAGTGATACTTTTGGTGAATAAAAAAACAAAAGGCACTGTGGCTCCAGGAGTCCACTCAAGAGACACAGAGACTGAATTTGTACATCATATTTGAATGGCAAACCCACTCAGAAGACAATTAAAAATTTTCAAATTACAGATGCGTGTTGAGCCAGTTCTGAAATACTAGAATAAGACTGTTGCCTCCAAAATGTGACAATTTTGGAAGGCTATATAATATTCATGTAGCTGATAAAGCTTGGCGGGGTACATATCTTGGAAATAAGTCCATGTTTAATATCTATCTAATATCTATGTACATGTGGACATACTTATATTTGGTAGTCTCATTACTTCATGTTCAAACCTAGTTTATTACACAAAGAATTTGAACAACTTACTAATTAATTAGTAGATATCTCTCCAGAACCTCAAGTTCAGTATCGTAAGATGCAGTATTGCAATCTTATTTTCTCCTCCTCCTGTATTCTCTCTCTCTTGCTGAACAACACGACTTTCTCCTCTGTTGCTCAAGCTGGATACTACTAATGCCCTCAATGACTTGTGCATGTAAAGCAGACGTTTTCTGCCAACATTTCCCCTGAATCTTGGGGCCTTCCTCTAACATTATCTTCACTATAGTCAGAATCATTAAAACGGATTTTCCTCTCTTGTTTGTTATTATACCAGTAATTTATAAGCACATTCTTTCAGTTAAAAAATTTAAATATTCTGGAAAAGGTAAAAGATGGGTGGTTTCCAAGAGAGGGAGGGACATACAGGCAGAACACGGGGTTTCTAGGGCAGTGAGGCTGCTCTGTGTGATACCGTAATGGTGTGTATATCTCATTAGACCTTTGTCCAAAACCGCAGAATGTACAAGATGTCATTCATCTTGTACACAAGATGACATCTTGATGTCAACTGTGGACTCTGAGCGATGATGATGTGACCATGGAGATTCATCAGCTGTAGCGAATGTTCCATCTAGTATGATGGGGGAGGCTGTGTGGGGGGAAGGATAGGGGGAATATGGGAACTCACTGTATCTTCCCCTCAATTGTGCTGTGAAGTGAAAACTACCATAAAAAATAAGGTCTTAAAACAACAATTACAGATCAGGTAGAAGATGTTCTTCTCCCCATTTGCCTACTTGCCCCTGGGGAGACAGCTCACAAGCCCTACAGAAAACTCCATATGAGTGTGTTGTCCCTATGCCCCCTGAATGCCCCCCCCCACCCCGCAGCACGACTTTTTAGATGTTTTCTGCATCAACGTTGGTGTTCTGTCTCTAAAACATGAATGTGCCCATGCTCCTCCCCTAGGTCTGGATGCATAAAACCAGACTCCTCAGGGGGAGATCTCCCCTCACAGGGACTGTTCCTACCTGCTTGGTCCACAGGGATGCTCCTCCTTGAACCTCATGCCTCATCTACCTGCACAGCCCATGAGCCCCAGGGCTGCCCCATGTCATGTCCTGGTGTCAGGACCAACGGTGCCCTCTTTGAAACTCCAGGGCTAGGGTCCTGCATCCCCAGGAAGGGTTCCTGGCACTTCCCTGCCTGCCTCCTCTTGTCAGGGGAAGAGGTGCCCTGCCCCAGGCTCACACCTGACCAAGATCCCGGGGTCCGGTGTGCATGGAGCTTCCTGAACCCTCAGGCTTTAACTGATAAACCAGCTCCTCACCGTCCCTCCTGACATATTCCATGAGTCTAGGCCTCTGTTCTATGGCCATTGTAACTGGTAAGTTAACCACCAGACGCTGAACCATACCAATGCTTTGTTGCCAGGAGATTCGAAAGGTTAACACTCCACTTCCCCCTTCCTGAACCCCCGCTCCTGGGAGAAGATGGGGGAGGGGATCTTCATAAAGACAGGATAAAAGAAGACAAATTGGTGGATTTAAAAAGTGGATAAGAAATGGCAGGAGTAAAACCGTGACAAGGGGGACATGACCCAGAGGTGAGCCCAGGAGATCCCCATGCAGGGAAGGCCTGCCCCAACTCTGACCTCTGTCCCATGAAGTCTGAACGCCCTTCACACCAGCCCTTTGGCCTCAGTCTCACTCAGCCTCTGGCAGTGAACCCGCACTTGCCGAGAAAATGGCCTGTCACACCTCAGCCTGCAGGGGGTCCCAGGTGGTGGGGGGCTAGGCCCCCCGGGGTTTCCCAGGCAGGGGAGGGCCCTGAGCACCACCTTTTCACCAAGCTCTGGGGCTAACTGCAGTCTGAGAACAAGGCCACAGCCTCACAGGCTTTGTTCACTTGCCAGTTCCTATGATTTAGTAAAATCAGCTGGCCTTTGCCCCAGCTGGGAGCTAGCAGCCTCCTGATAGGGCCTGAGCAGAGTCCTCTGCTCCCAGCACAGCACAAGTAACTGAGGTTAGTTAGTGCCCCAGCACCTAGGCTAATGCACAAGGCAGCCCGCAGGATCCTGGGTGTTTCCAAAGAGACAGAGAAGCTGGGCTGAGCAGAAAAAATTGAAAGCCAAAAGCAAAATTAATAAATGGCGGAGCTGGTGTATATACCTTGGTCTTTTTTTTTTATTTTATCTTAAAAGATGACCTAATTCCCTCTAGGTCAATGGCTGTGCATTAGAAACACCAAATGGAACTTTAAGATAAAAAGGCGTGCAGGCTCCCATTGCTGTTTTGCTTTTTGAGGTGAGGTCTATTCCATTAGACAGCTCTCCTTTTCAACGTGGTGCACAGCTGGGACACAAACTGCTACGGTGGCTGTGCCCTGCAGGTGGCTGCCTTTGGAGGAGAAGGGACCCTGGAGGACAAACACCAAGGAACACAGAAAAAGCCAATTTTCACCCATGGCCTCTTACACACAGGACCTGGTTCAAGACACGGGTCCTTTGTGTTAGAGGCTGACAGTCTTCTGGATGAGCAGGACCAGCACTTACTGTCTTGCCACCAAACACTGTCCTGGGGCCCAGCTCGCATCCACTCATAACACAGGCGGTTCTGAGGCCTTTCCCTCTGCACACAAACTGCTGTTTTTAGTAACAGCTCAGACACTGTCGGGCCCATTCATTTACCTTTTGTTTCAGTTTTGGTAGCCAGACCTGGGAAATAAAACAGCTCATAATTATTTCCATGGGACAATGTAATCCTGCTACCAAGTAATAATCTTAATATTTGGTAAATAACGTCTTCATTATTTGCAAAAATGTAAATCCTAGTCCTCAGGGGATGTACAGTACTCTGATGGGAACCAAAAATAAAATAAACCTTGGAAAAAACTAGGAAGGAGCTAAGTGAGAAGTGTGTGGTGATTACTTAGGATACAGTAAAACAAGTAGATTGTTAAATTGTTTTCTTGACATTACATATTCATAGTTTCTTGATAAACTATCATGCAGGTAAGCTAGTCACTAAGTGATTTCTTCCTTGAATTCCGGAATTAAGGTGGACTCCTTGTTTCCAAATGTTTCCTAAGATTCTGTTCTGGTAAAATTTAAACTTTGAGTAATTTGTAAGAAACAAGGAATACGCTGACTCTGACAAAATAATTGGGATTCATTCTTTATTTCTTATCTATTTTATTTCTTATCTCCTTACGACTCCTTCGAGCCACGCTCCCTGCATATTTCTCAGTACTTATAGCCATTCTCTAACTAATTTTGATATTTAAACTCCTTTTTGAAAAATAAAAGCTAGCGCTGGTCTTTGGGAGAAGCGCTGTTTGAGGGAGAATTGAAGATGGTGAGGGAGGCCAGCCACGAGGCCCTCTGGGGCAGAGCACTCCCAGCCTGCCGAGGCCGCGGGGGAAGCGTGCCTGCCGTGTGCTGCGTCTCAGCCTCCACTGCAGATAGTCCCCTGCGTGTCATTCCAACGTCAACGTCAAGAATTAATAGAGACCCTCTAAACAGGAGCAACATTGAGCCAGAAGGCTGCTGTCAAGTGAGAGAAACACTGAACTTTCACGGAACAGGATGAGAGTGGGGGCGGGGGAAGGGTGAACTATCTAAATACTCTTTATATTGACTATGAATTGAGATATTGGGTTAAATAAAATATACATTTAAAATTAATTTCACCTGTTTCTTTACAAACTTTATGTTTTAACATGGTGACTAGACGGTTTAAAGTCATGTTTAGGACAAGGGCCTTGCACCCAAGCCTCATTTCT